CCGCGGATGAGGAGGGACAGAGGCCGGCGGCCCCCTTTGGACCCCCCCCTCCGCCCTGCAAAGACGGTCGCTTCCTCTCCGAGCACGAGGCTGAAACGAGGCGGGGGGGGGGAACCGCAGGAACCAAGCGGCGAGGTTCCTCCCCACTGCCACTCCCATCCGCGCCTCTCCTTGCGCGTTGCCTTGCGCCCCTCTTTAGGATCGGGGGTGAGTGGGGCAGAAAAGGGAGAGGGGTCGGGGTGCAAAAAAAAAAAAAAGGATGTGGGGTGTTGCATGCACGGGAGGGGAGCCAGCTAGCCACCTAAGCCCCCTTCTTGGCTCATCTGGAATAGTTTGGGAAAGTTGCATTTCTTAGGGTGGCGGGGGGGGTGACTACAAACCCCAGGGTGCGCCAGCACCTTGGGTTTTGTAGTCCGAACTATAGAACCGTCGCTGGAATGGTTGGCCTGCTTGGGCACGTGTGGATCCATTCATTTCGCTATTTTTGCAAGTCTCCCCTTGGACTGGAGCGCCCTTTGGGGGGCGGGGAGGTTTCGGGGCGAATCCTGCCTTATTTGGCCAATAAATAACCAAGGATCATGAAAGGGGCTACACAGTACTTATTTCTATACCCAGCCGCGAGACTCAACCCAGTTCAGGAGCCCGGTGGGTCTCGAAAGCTTACTTTTTAAAATGAGGTATTGCAGCGTGATGGTGAGGATGATGGGGATGGGACACCATCCCCTGTTCCTCCTTGTAGGAGAAGCTGTGGGTGTTTACATTTGGACCCCTGTATTGGCAGGAGATTTTTTTTAAAAAAAACCCATATTTATGATGTTTAAACCACGCCGATAGCAGATCAAAAGGAAATTTAAAAAGCGTCTCCTTTGGAGTTCTGTTATTCGACTTTTAAATATTTAGGAACATCGGTCATTGATGGAAATTATTTAAAAAAACTATTCAAAGAAATAAAAGCGGGAAAAATCGTCAAGTGGGCCGGTTTGAATTCGTCAATGTTCGGGAGAACAGCCTTCGTTAAAAAAACATATATCTTACCAGAACTTTTATTTTTATTCTGAAACATGCCTCTACCACCGGAGATTGAAAAAATAAAATAAAATGATGGCAAGAGAATTTTTAAAAGTTTATTGCAGGAAAGAAGACCCGATTCATTTTAAAGTAAGTTCCAGAGGCTTATTTTGAAACCTCTAGCGGTTTTTCTCTCCTTGGTGCTCAGGGGGAGCGGGGGACGGATCCGGCACCTTCAAGGACGACGGATTCTCGCTGCCAGCACACCAATTCCCAGCCCTCCTCATGAGCAAAGCTTCGCCGGAAGAGAAGATGAGGAGCAAAGGGTTGACCTTCGCAGAGAAGCAGCTGAAGAAACACGGCTGGGAAAAAGGTGTGTGTTTGAGTTGCGGAGTGGGAAAGTCAGAAAGTACAGGTGTAAAAACCTCGTATCCCCAGGATCCATTCACTTATCTGCAGTCTTAAAATTTAAAAGAAAATTCCTGGGAATATTTCTACAGTTTCCAGATCTGGCCCCTAGAAGGGGGCAGAGGCCGAGCTGTATACAGTGGTGCCTCGCTTAACGGGCGCTCCGTTCGACGACAAAATCGCTAGACGTCGATGTTTTTGCGATTGCAAAAGCAATCGCAAAACGATGTTCCCTATGGGGGAAATTTCACTTTGCGATGATTGGTTCCCTGCTTTGATCATGGCAAAGTGATGGTTTTCGGCCAGCTGATCGGTGGTTTCAAAATGGCCGCCAGGTAAACAAAATGGCTGCCCGCTCTTTTCTGGGACAGATTGCTCGCTGCATAGGCAGGGAAAATGGCCGCGCTATGGAGGATCTTTGCTGGACGGTGAGTTTCAAGCCCCTAGGAACTTATTAATCAGGTTTAATGCGTTTCTATGGGCTTTTAAAAATTGCATTATGACATTTTCATTTTACAGCGATTTCGCTGGAATGAATTAACGCAATGCGAGGCACCACTGTATAGAGTTTGCTATTATCTGCATTCTCCAGCATCTGCAGGCGGCTATTATCTGCATTTTTCAGCATCTGCAGGCGTGGATCGGAACCCGTACCCCGCGAATACGGGGAGTCCTGTATTTCAAGCGTCGTGGGGTTTTCTGGGTGCTTCCTAAGGGCCCTTCATTCCCATTCCTGACCCACCTGCTTTTAAATGCCTTTTATTATTATTACTTTTAAAGGTAAAGGACTCGGGAAGCAAGAAGATGGGATTTCCGAGGCCATCAAGGTCAAAGTGAAGTGTGACACGGCCGGGGTAAGGAAAGGCTGCGCTCTTGAGCAAGTGTGTGTGTGTGTGTGTGTGTCCAGAGAAGGCTTAAATTTCAGTCCGACGGGTCCACAGGAACATCACAACCAGGGTTTACTGCCCAGCTGTTCAGGGGGGACCCCCGTGGGAATCGGGTACCCTTTTACAGGTCAGCGCGCCACGTCCTAAAGTTTCATGGACCACCTGCCTTGAGGACCAGAAACTTGTTCCATGTGTCTGTCTGCCTGTGTGTTTAAAAAATGCAGTTGTTCTTTGCCATGTATCTGTGGGTGTTGATATAGGGGGATCACAACTGCGTGGGGACCTTCTCATTTTCTCCCTCTGGCCTCCTCCTGGCGCAGGTGGGCCACCATCCCGCCGAGGAGTTCACCTTCCATTGGTGGGACCATCTCTTCAACGCTTCAGCGGCCAACGTTGTCGTGGAGGCCAGGAAGGTAAAGCGGGAGGCGGGTGGTCATCTTTGGGACGGCTGTCGGTTTATTTCTGAAGGTGCTCGAACCCGGGGAGGCCGCCTGCCCTCCTTGGAGCATTTATTAGAACTGCACCACCAGGTTTTGAAGACACCCAAGAGGTTAGCGAACCCGATTCGAAAGACGGGCGTGCAGTTTTTAAAGGTTTTAAAACGGGCCGGGAGAGGGAGGTCGGCCAGCTGGCCAGCGGCTACCCGGCCTTGCTGGGGTCTCCCTTCCCGTGTTGGGAAACCGAAAAGCATTAAAACGGGCCGGGAGAGGGAGGTCGGCCCCCCAACCCGGGTTTTCCCAGTCAAGAGCAAATCTTTGCTGGTCTCCTCGGGTGCTGAGGCTGGCCGGAAGAAGCTAGGTTAAAGAGATCCCCTAAAATCTGTGGGGTGAAGGGATCCTTGGCCACACCCACACCCACACCCTGAAAGAAGTGTTCAAATACCGCAGATTGATTTAGACTACCTTGATTTGACATCTGTGTTAAATTAAACAGTCCTTGGCTCGGCCCAAGGTCTCCCCCTAAGCGTGGGTAGGGCCCGATCCAAGCCACAGGAAGGATTAAAAAACCGAAACTTTGAGGGTGGGGGGACGTGAGATGCCAAAACCTAGAACGGACACAGGAGGCACTGAGCACGAGGCTCAGTCTGCCCCAGGCCTGACAAAGAGGTAAGACTCTCTAAAAGTAAGAAACGGGGCTGGGTCCGTGTCATTCCCGGGTTGCCTTTTTGATTCTTATTTCTGCAGGGCAGGAGTGTTGAATTGCTGGCGGCAAGAGGGCACCTAAGAGTCGGAGTGCTGTAGTGAGGGGTTTTAATATTTATTTTATTCCAACGACGGCTGGTTTTTGAGCTCCGGCCGCTTAGCGCTCCTTCTCTCTCAACCTCCCCCCCCCCCTCTAGGACAGGGTCAGAGTGAGGAAGGTCTCCGAGCAAGACGGAAGCGTTATAAATAAAAAACCTCGCAAAGCCCAAAAGAACAAGGACATGCTGTACGGTCGTTTCGTGAAGGTAGGGGGAAAAGCAAACTCATCACTTTGAGAGAGAGAGAGAGAGAGAGAGAGAGAGAGAGTGAGTGTGTGTGTGAGAGAGAGAGAGACCCAAAGTCTGACTGGCAGGGGGCCTTTTAGGTGTTACTCAACTGGGGAGGGGGAACCTTTTGCTTCTCCCCTCGCCTGCTTGTTGGGGTGATTTTGGAGCTAAGAATTCCAGTTGGAACCCCTTGTCCGGGAGGTATAGGTTCCAAGGTCCCCCACGGATACTGAAAAACGTGGATAATAGCAAACACTGTAAGAGTGAATGTTATCCGTAAGCATGGTCTCTAGCTCCCTCCAGGGGCCACTCCTGTATTTCAAAATAGATATTTCTAGGATTTTTCCTTTAATCATTTTGGGCCATGGATCAGCGGATACACAGATCCTGTTCCTGCGGATAAGGGGGTTCCTACTGTATTCTGTTTCTGAGGGTTCCTCTTCGGCTCCTCCCAGGCAGCCACGCTGACACAGATCCTGCGGATAAGGGGGTTCCTACTGTATTCTCTGTTTCGGCTCCTCCCAGGCAGCCACGCTGAAGTCCGGCGGAGAAGAACCCTTGAACCCGGTTTCCTCTTCGGACAGCAGCAGCGATGAGGACGAGAAGCTGGACCTGTCGTCAGCGAGGAGGTAAAAGGTGGGAGCCCCGGGGCGGTTTGGCCCAGATCCGGCCCTTGCCCGTGGGGGAGTCACACCACCCACCCACCTCTTGTCGTTCACAGGCTGACGGATGAGGAACTGGTCCAGGCGTGCGGGGGAAGGACAGCCCATAAGTGAGTGTGGAATTATGGTCTGCACCCCCACCTGGGTGCGTGTGCATGGGGTGGAGAGGATGCATTTACGGCGCCCGATTTACTGGCCATCTGTAGATCCTCCTTGCCTTCCCTTTGGAGCCACACCAAAGCTCCTCTTTCTTAAAAAAAGTGCTAGGGAACTGGGGGCTCTTTGGCCAGCAGGATCCGGCCCGTGGCCTCTTCGGCTTAGAGGCCTGGAGTCACTGCTGTGAAATCTTAACTTTTAAAGCGGTCAAGGTGGCTTCCTTGGCTTTCGTCCCTGCGAGGTAGGCTGGGCAGAGGAAGGCAGAGGGACTGACCCAGATCGCTCTCGGTGCGTTGTAGCTCAATGGGGCGACTCGAACCTTAGACCTACCCGGTTCTACTCCGGAAGCACTCTGGTCGTGGCGCGGGCTTTCTGAAAACTGGGTACACGCTTTGCTGGTGACCCGAATATAGTTATTTTTCTTTGGTTGACGCCTCTTCTGTGCTTTACTCCAGGGGGGCTCGGCACGGTTTCACCATGAGCGCCAAACTAGCCCGGCTGGAAGCGCAGGAGAAAGCTTTCCTGGCTACCCACCTCCACCCGCCGGAAGCAAAGCCGGGGGAAGAGAGACCCACCCCGGATGACCGCCGTGGGGCCGGCCCCGCTCGGAGACAGAAGAAAGCCAAGAAAAGAGATAGAGAGCGGTGGGTTGAGCCCGGGAGTCCCAGGGGCCCGGAAGGGACGGGAGGAGAGGAAGCGAGCGCTCGAGGAGCCCCAAAGGAGAAGAAGAAGAAAAGGAAGCGGAAGCATCAAGAGGAGGGTGGAGGGTTTGCCGCAGAGGCCACGGAGGAGACACGGATCGGGGTGGCCGGTCGCAGGCGGAAGACCAAGAGGAAAGCCGACTGAAAGGGGAGGTCGTGGGGCTGCCAGAAGGGTCGTGGACATCATCCTCCGAGCCTGGTTCCTGGTGGGTCCCATCTCCATTGTGCGAGAGGAGCAGAGAGGTTTGGAGGCGGGCTGCGCTCCTGCCTACCTTTTGCACATTACGTGGTGCAACGACCACGTGATAAGTTAACGCCCTGCACTCCACGGGATGCCATGCTGACCTTCAAGAAAATGGACGGACCGTTGGCTGCCCTCGCGCTCTGGACACCCTTGCACTCCAGAAAGAGTTCGCGCTGAAGGGGAGCCGGTTACGAAGCGTTGCGCCTGCATTTCAGGGGCCCGCGGGCACCCTGGCTTCTCAGCCCTGATCCCTCCTCCTTCTCCGCCGGGCGCCTCCCCAGAGGCCACATGAGGCAGACTTCCCCCCCCCCCACAACAAGGGGAGGTCACGAAGCCCAACCATTAAAAGAGAGGCCCCAGGCAGCGGACGCTGTTGTGGAAACAATACCTTCTGTTTTAATAAAAACTATCGCTTTGAAACAAGAAAGGTCTGACCGAATTCTTACCAGGGGGTGCCGGAGGCACAGGGGGAAAACCAAACCCGTTCCCGATGGGGTGACCGCCGAGAGGCCTCTGGATCTGGCCTTGGTCCTCTTTGCTGGTCAGCCCGGATCTAACCAAGCCCCTCCACTTAAGCAGGTTTAAGAGGTTTGCAAAGACCCCTTTCCCTCTTGGCCTGACCTCTCCTCGGGCGTTTGGCTTAAGCCGTTCGGCTTCTTGCCTCTGAATAGCTAGATCGAGTAAAAAGCAGGTCCCTCTATGGAGAGCTGGACCGGCTTTTCACCAGCCCCCATCCCCCAAAACCAAACAGGGAACCGTCTGGACTTCCGCCCACCAGCCTTCCTTTCTCTTCCCGCCTCGGCCCCCATCCCGCGACGCAGGGGCTCAGGGCAGCCGCAGGACGCAATCCGTCTCCGGGTAGGGGGGCAGGTTCAACGCGTATTTCTCCTGCAGCGCCGCAGGGACGAAGCGGCCTCCCAGGAAATGGTAGCGCCCGGCGAAGTGCTTGGCCGCCTGCTTGGGCACCGTGAGAGAGACCAGCAGATCCGGCTGCAGCCCGTCCGGGTTTCCCTTCTCCACGTCCCACCCTGAAAAATGAAAAAGAGAGCAATGAAAGTGAAGGAAGAGCTTTGGAGAGAGACACGGATCGGGGTGGCCGGTCGCAGGCGGAAGACCAAGAGGAAAGCTGACTGAAAGGGGAGGTCGTGGGGCTGCCAGAAGGGTCGTGGACATCATCCTCCGAGCCCGGTTCCTGGTGGGTCCCGTCTCCGCTGTGTGAGAGGAGCAGAGAGGTTTGGAGGCGGGCTGCGCTCCTGCCTACCTTTTGCACATTTCATGGCGCAAGGACCACGTGATAAGTTAACACCCTGCACGCCACGGGATGCCATGCTGACCTTCAAGAAAGTGGACGGACCGTTGGCTGCCCTCGCGCTCTGGACACCCTCGCGCTCCAGAAAGAGTTTGCTCCGAAGGGGAGCCAGTTATGAAGCATTGCGCCTGCATTTCAGGGGCCCGTGGGCACCCTGGCTTCTCAGCCCTGATTCCTCCTCCTCCTCTGGCAGACGCCTCCCCAGAG